AAGCGCCCTGGGCTCCCGAGCCAGGAGGGTGAGGGCTGAGGGCTTTGGCCGCACCCTCCCATCATCTGCGACCAGCCCAGAAATGACCACTGAACTTCCATCAGAAGACCCCTGGTCTCCCCTCAAGGAATGAGGTGAAGCGCCCTGGGCTCCCGAGCCAGGAGGGTGAGGGCTGAGGGCTTTGGCCGCACCCTCCCAACATCTGCGACCAGCCCAGAAATGACCACTGAACTTCCACCAGAAGACCCCTGGTCTCCCCTCAAGGAATGAGGTGGGTGCCACAGGCCTCAACCATGCCCCTCGCTTCCTCCTTCCACCCTATTTCCTTCCCCCACCCCTCCCACCCAACTGCTCTGCAACAACAACTTAGAATGTAAAAACAGATGGAGCCTGGGACCAAGCCCTCCTCCCACAACCTGGCTCATCTCTGCTGCCACAGGGCCCACCAGAGGTTCTGAGGTATGGAGCCAAGGACCAACCCCTCCTCCTGCATCCAGGCAAGGAGCATGCCAAAAACACCACTTTCATCTGGGTGACCCACTACAGCCACCACAATAGCCACAGCTGCCGCAAAAGCGGCTAGATGTTATAACTACCACGCAGATGGCTTGCCAGCCAGTCGAGTGCATTGACACAAGGAGAGTCACCAGTGGAGACCAAAGAAAAGAAGAGAATGTCTCTCTCCACAAAGCCCATTCCAGAGTGACAGAAAAAGCATCTGCTCTACAATAATAGTGGGGGATATGAACATACATCTCTCAGCACGGGACAGATCATCTAGGCAACAAATCAAGAGAGTAACATTACTCTTTCAGAAGGAGAGAAAAAAACCTGGGGTTACCAGAGCGGGGAGAGGGGAAAGAGAAGGTGATGGGGAGAGATTGGATAAGGGGCATAAAGAATAAGTATGATTTGTAATAATGTAATATGCTAATAATATTGATTTGATCAACATACGTTAATGTTGAACCCCCAAAATTTGTATAATCAATTATTCAGTTAAAAAAAAAAAAGATACACCACACAAACATTTACCAAAAGTAGGCTGATTTTATATTACTGTCAAAGTATGCTTTAAGGTAAGAAGAATTACTAGAGATAAAGGGGGACATTTTATAAAATTAAAAGATTCACTCCACCACCAAAAAGATTATTTATACATTGGTTTGCACTTAATAGCACAGTTTCAAAATAGATAAAGCACAAATTGACAACTATATATAGGGAATAAAAGATAATTCCAAAATAGTTTCGGGGGAGGTTAACACATCTGTCATGAAGTAATTAAATAAGAACACAAACAAAAAATCAGTAAGGATTATAGAATAATGCAAATTAGAAACTTAACTGACATATGTTAAATAGTGCACTTGACATCTGCAGAATACACATTAATTTTATGTACACATGAAACAATTACCAAAATCGAATATATCCTAGGCCACAAATTTCAAATGATTGGAAACAGATATTCTCTGACCACAAAGAAATTAAATTGGAAACCAATAATGAAAAGATAACTATAAAATAATCTCCATATATTTGGAAATTAAAATATATAATCTCCTAAACTGAACATACACATAACTTATGAACCAGAAATCTCATTGGTAGATACATACTCAACAGAAATGCTTATATGTATTTACCAAAGGACATGACTAGATTGCTGACAGAAGTACTGTTCAAAATAGCCAGAAACTAGAAACTACTCAATGCTCATCAGCAATAGACTACATAAATAAATTATAATATATTCACAATGAAACAGACACCTACACACAAATGTATGGAAGAATCTCAGAAACATAATTTGAGTAAATTTCCATACCTAAACGTGTATATATGATTACAAAGTTAAGTATTGCTTATGAATGTTAAATACAGGTTACCCTTTAAGGGTGTGTTGGTGACTGGAATGAGCACGCCCAGATTCTGAGGTACTGATAATGTTCTATATCTTGATTTAAGTATTAGGTACGCAAGTATGTGAAAGTTTGTGAAGATTCATCAAGCTGTGCATTTATGATATTTCTCTTCTGTGTTTCAAAGTTATACTTCAAAAATAAGAAGAAATAGAAAAGAACTCGAATCTGCCATAAAAAGCCTTTCTGCAAATAAAAAATAAGACCCAAAGGACTGACTGAATTCTATCAAATGCTAAGATGAAATGCCAGTCTTAAACAAAATTTTCAACTAATTTATGAGCATTAATTTGATGTCAAAACCTGACAAAGACTTTCCAAGAAAGGAAAGTAATGAGCCAGTCTTAATCATGAATATAAATGCAAAAATTCTTACCAAAATTTGAGCAAATTAAATCTGACAATTTTTAAAAGCAAGGTAAAACATAACAACTAAGTTGGATTTATTCCTGGAATGCAAGGTTGGTTTAACATTTAAAAATTAACCAGGAGTGAAGCTAGAGGGAAGCTGTAGAAAGCACCAGGAATCTTGTCTCCCCACCTAGACAACAAGTACACTGGCAGAGTCTGTCTGATGTAACTATTTGGGAACTCTGAAGTCTACTGAAGGCTTACAACTTCTTGAGGAAGATTTGAAAAGTTAATTTAAGCTCTTAGCATGTTAGTAGCTACCCATCCCCTCACCCTCAGCATCATAGCAGGCAGCTATGCATTCATTTCTTGAGCAGCTTGCATACACTTTGTGGGAACAGGGTGAGTGATAAGTACTGTGTTCTCCAATTTTCAGAAATCTATGCTGTGATAGCTGATTGCTGTCTCTGATCATGGAGGTGCAGGCCAAGGCAGTGAGCCATTGTTGTGAACCCCATTGCCACTGTTGCAAGTCCCTCCCCCAACACCAAAGTAACTTCCAAAGATTTAAAGATCCAGTGTCATTCTCACCTCCTTAACTTTCTCTTTTTCCTCTTTTGGGAACCAGACCAGGACATTAAAAAGTAGCCATGTATGCAGGGGAAATACAGAAAATCATCACACGTGCCCATGGAAAGCCATAGTCTCAAAAAATATCTAGAAGACTCTTAAGATTATACCTCAGGCTGATCCTCAGAACAGAAAAACCCTGCAACAAGAAATAATAAAATTAGCACTCTGCTCTCTAAAAAATAGATAAATAATAAAATTAAATTATAGATAAAATAGCAAGCCCTGGGGAGGGGGAAGAATTTGATCTCCAGAGTTATCACATCATAAGATTCAAATGTCCAGTTTTCAAGAAAAAAATGAGAAAGCATACAAAGAAACAGGGAAGTATGGCCCATTCAGAGGAAAAAAGTAAATCAACAGAAACTGTCCCTGAGAAAGACCCAATGTCAGACTTACTAGATAAAGATTTTTTTAAAAAACTGTCTTAAAGATGATCAAAGAACTAAAAACATACAAAGTCAAAAAAATGTACAAAATGGAAATATCAGTGAAGAGATAGAGAACCTAGAAAGAAACCAAAAGGAAATTCTAGAGCTCAAAAGAACAATAACTGAAATGAAAAATTCACTAGAGGGAGTCAAAGGCAAATTTGTGCAGGCAGAAGAATCAGCAGATCTAAAGATAGGGCAATGGAAATTGATTCTGTAGAACAAAAAGAAAAAAAAAGTTGAGAAAAAGTGAACAGAGCCTAAGTGACCTGTTGCCCTTGATGGTGCCCCACATACACATTATGGGAGTCCTAGAAGGAGAATAGAGAGGAAAGAGAAGAGAGAGTACTTAAAGAAATAATATCCAAAAACCAAATTTGATAGAAGACAAAAATAAGCATCCAAGAAGCTCTGTGAACTCCAAGCAAGATAAACTCAGAGACCCACACTGTAGTCAATATATTGAAGACAAAGAGAGAATCTTGAAAGCAAGAGAAAAGCAGCTCATCACATACAAAGGATTTCCCAATAAGATTATTCGCAGATTTTTCATCAGAAACTTTGGAAGCCAGAAGGCAATGGGCTGATATATTCAAAGCACTGTGGAGAGAAACTCAACCAAGAATTCTATATTTGTCAAAGTTCTTCAATAATGAAGGAGAAATCAAGATATTCCTACATAAAAGCTGTGGGGGTTCATTCCCCTCTAGACCTACCCAACAAGAAATGTTGAACAGAGTCCTTTCAGGTGAGATGAAAGGACACTAAACAGTAACTTTACCAAGTATCAAAGTAAACATTGTACTTACTGGCAAAATACTGAAAGCTTTCTCTCAAGTTGGGAACAAACTCCCATATACCCGTAGTTCAGCTGCAGGTGAGATGAAAGGACACTAAACAGTAACTTTACCAAGTATCAAAGTAAACATTGTACTTAATGGCAAAATACTGAAAGCTTTCTCTCAAGTTGGGAACAAACTCCCATATACCCGTAGTTCAGCTGCAACAATAATTATCAATTCATGACCAGTCTTGTTTCATCTGTTGCTCTACCTCTTTACCCCTCCACTCCAGGTAATTTTGAAACAAATTCCATACATTATATCATTTCATGCATATATTTCAGTATATATTTGAAAGATAATTTCTTGTTAAAAAACATCAGCATTGTGATTAACATACTTAAAATAATTAACAATAATTCTTTGGTATTATCAGATCAAATTTTTCTGATTTTATGTTTTGCTTATGTGTTTTTTCAGTTTGTTTTACTTAAATTCCACATAAGGTCTATTTATGGCAGTTGGTTAAAATTTTTAATCTATAGATTGTCCCTCCACATCTCTCTCTTTCTGCATCTCCCCACCTCCATCCCATTTATTTGTTGAAGAAACCAGGTCATTTCTTCTGCAGAGTTTTCCCCAGCTGTATTTTCTGGTTGCCTTCTCATGGTGGTATTTAATATGTTCATTTATTTTTTATAAATTGATAGGTAGATCTCTAAGTCATATTTTGATAAGAAATTTTCAAAGTCAAAACTGCTTAGTTTTTTTATTGCTTTGAGTCAATGCAGAATGTGTTAGAATCTGTCATTCCAAATATAAAGCAACATGTTCAGTGACTGAATCTCATTTTTAATGATATTAATATTTTCAACAAAGTTTAACTTTTCATGATTTTCTATCTTACGTCTCTTCTCTCCTTTGTCATCTTTTCTTCAAAAACTATTATAATGTGGTAATTACCTGTTTCTTAATTTAATTGCACAGGGAAATGAATAAGCGTCTAACAGAAGAACAAGCCAGAAAAACATTTGAGAGAGCCATGAAACTGGAACAAGAGTTTACTGAACATTTCACAGGTTGGAACCATGTGTGACAGTACCCTTTATTTTTTGTTTGTTTTGGTTTGGGTTTTTTGGCAGCTGGTTCATATGCGCATCCAAACCTTTGACATTGGCATTATAATACCATGCTCCCTGGCCAGCCCAACAGTGCCCTTTATGATATATTTTTTGCTTTGAAGCCATGTGAACTAACCCATTCAAATGGATTTTGAACTACACCCACATCTACCTGTAGTAACTAATACTGTCATTTTCAGAATAAACCCTTAAGGTCTGTGGTTTTGTCCTCCAAGAAATTCATGTAGCCTAGGCAGTGGTGATGGGGAATCTTAAAATTTAGTGTTTGTTAGGTTGTTGATTAGGACAGTATATACAGGAGTAATTCATACTTGACCAGAAAAATAGATTTCAATTTGGCTTCTGTGAAATTTTGACTTTTCTCTTATTCTGTATAAATTTTGATACTTTGTTTTATTGAGGGATAATTGACGGATTTTTCATATATTCAAGGAGTACAGTGTAATTTGATATATGTATACATTATGAATTGATTATGACAATCAAATTAACACATCTATCACCACACAGTTACTATTTTTTGTACGTGGGTGAAAACACTTAAGATGTACTCTATTGGGCTGGCCCGTGGCTCACTCGGGAGAGTGTGGTGCTGATAACACCAAGGCCACGGGTTCAGATCCCGTATAGGGATGGCCGGTCAGCTCACTGGGTGAGCATGGTGCTGACAACACCAAGTCAAGGGTTAAGATCCCCTCACCAGTCATCTTTTAAAAAAAAAGATAGTGCTGACAACACCAAGTCAAGGGTTAAGATCCCCTTACCAGTCATCTTTTAAAAAAAAAGATGTACTCTATTAATTATAGTCATCATGCTGTACATTAGATCCCCAGAAGTTATTCATCTTATCACTGAATGTTTGTACCCTTTGACCAACATCTCCCCATTTCTCCTATCCCCCCAGTATCTGACATCCACCATTCTACTCTCTCTTTTGAGTTCAACTTCTTTTGATTCCACACATAAGTGAGATCATACAGTGATTGCTTTTCTTAGCCTGGCTTATTTCACTTAGCATAATATACTCCATGTTCACCCATGCTGTTACAGATGGCAAGATTTCCTTCTTTTTTTAATGACTGAATATTCCATTGCATATTTATACCACGTTTTCTTCATCCATTTTTTCTGTCAACAGACATGTAGGTTGTTTCCATAGCTTGGCTATTGTGAATAGTGCTGCAGTAAACATGGAAGTGCAGATATCTCTTTGACATACCAATTTCATTTCTTTTGGATATGTGCCCAGTAGTGTGATTGCTGGATAATATGGTAGTTCCATTTTTAATTTTTTGAGGAACCCTCATACTGTTTTCCATAATGGCTTTACTAATTTACATTCCCACCAACAGTGTACAAGGTTCTCTTTTCTCCACACCCTCACCAACATTTGTCATCTCTTGTCTTTTTGATAATAGCCATCTAAAGTGTGAGGTAGTAACCTCATTGTGGTTTTGATTTCCATTTCCCTCGTGATTAGTGATGTTGAGCACATTTTTACGTACCTCTTGGCCATTTATATGTCTTCTTTAGAAAAATGTCTATTCGGGTCTTTTGCCTGTATTTTAAATGGGTTGTTTTTTGTGTGTTTTGTTTGGTTGGTTGGTTTTTTGCTGTTGAGTTGTATGAGTTCCTTATATATTTGGGATATATTAATCCTTATCAGATATATGGTTTACAAATATTTTTTCACCTTCCATAGGTTGCCCTTTCATTTTGTTGATTGTTTCCTTTGTTGTGCAGAAATTTGTTCATTTGACGTAGTCCCACTTGGTTACTTTTATTTTGTTGCCTGTGCTTTTGGTGTCACATCCAAAGAATCATGGCCAAGATCAGTGTCAAGGAACTTTTTCCCGTATGTTTTCTTCTAGGAGTTCTACAGTTTTAGGTATTACATTTAAGTCTTTAATTCATTTTGAGTTAATTTTTGTATATGATATGAGTCCAGTTTCATTCTTTTGCGTGTGGATATCCAATTTTCCCCAACACCATTTATTGAAAACACTAGCCTTTCCCTATTGTGTATTCTTGGCCTATTGTCAAAGATTAGTTGTCCTTTGATACATTTAAAAATATTATTTGTTTAAAAATAAAAGAGTGGGTGGCAATTCTTTAATAATCTTACTCAATTGGGTTTTTTTGTAGATGTTGTAGAGCAGTTGGGAGAGAGAGGGGAAATGGGATGGAAGGAAGAGGGGTGGGATTGAGGCCTGTGGCACCCCCCTCATTCTCACAGGGAAGAATGGTGGGCTTCCAGTGGTGGCTTGGTTATTGCCAGGCAGGGTGCTGATGTCANCCACTCCAGGTAATTTTGAAACAAATTCCATACATTATATCATTTCATGCATATATTTCAGTATATATTTGAAAGATAATTTCTTGTTAAAAAACATCAGCATTGTGATTAACATACTTAAAATAATTAACAATAATTCTTTGGTATTATCAGATCAAATTTTTCTGATTTTATGTTTTGCTTATGTGTTTTTTCAGTTTGTTTTACTTAAATTCCACATAAGGTCTATTTATGGCAGTTGGTTAAAATTTTTAATCTATAGATTGTCCCTCCACATCTCTCTCTTTCTGCATCTCCCCACCTCCATCCCATTTATTTGTTGAAGAAACCAGGTCATTTCTTCTGCAGAGTTTTCCCCAGCTGTATTTTCTGGTTGCCTTCTCATGGTGGTATTTAATATGTTCATTTATTTTTTATAAATTGATAGGTAGATCTCTAAGTCATATTTTGATAAGAAATTTTCAAAGTCAAAACTGCTTAGTTTTTTTATTGCTTTGAGTCAATGCAGAATGTGTTAGAATCTGTCATTCCAAATATAAAGCAACATGTTCAGTGACTGAATCTCATTTTTAATGATATTAATATTTTCAACAAAGTTTAACTTTTCATGATTTTCTATCTTACGTCTCTTCTCTCCTTTGTCATCTTTTCTTCAAAAACTATTATAATGTGGTAATTACCTGTTTCTTAATTTAATTGCACAGGGAAATGAATAAGCGTCTAACAGAAGAACAAGCCAGAAAAACATTTGAGAGAGCCATGAAACTGGAACAAGAGTTTACTGAACATTTCACAGGTTGGAACCATGTGTGACAGTACCCTTTATTTTTTGTTTGTTTTGGTTTGGGTTTTTTGGCAGCTGGTTCATATGCGCATCCAAACCTTTGACATTGGCATTATAATACCATGCTCCCTGGCCAGCCCAACAGTGCCCTTTATGATATATTTTTTGCTTTGAAGCCATGTGAACTAACCCATTCAAATGGATTTTGAACTACACCCACATCTACCTGTAGTAACTAATACTGTCATTTTCAGAATAAACCCTTAAGGTCTGTGGTTTTGTCCTCCAAGAAATTCATGTAGCCTAGGCAGTGGTGATGGGGAATCTTAAAATTTAGTGTTTGTTAGGTTGTTGATTAGGACAGTATATACAGGAGTAATTCATACTTGACCAGAAAAATAGATTTCAATTTGGCTTCTGTGAAATTTTGACTTTTCTCTTATTCTGTATAAATTTTGATACTTTGTTTTATTGAGGGATAATTGACGGATTTTTCATATATTCAAGGAGTACAGTGTAATTTGATATATGTATACATTATGAATTGATTATGACAATCAAATTAACACATCTATCACCACACAGTTACTATTTTTTGTACGTGGGTGAAAACACTTAAGATGTACTCTATTGGGCTGGCCCGTGGCTCACTCGGGAGAGTGTGGTGCTGATAACACCAAGGCCACGGGTTCAGATCCCGTATAGGGATGGCCGGTCAGCTCACTGGGTGAGCATGGTGCTGACAACACCAAGTCAAGGGTTAAGATCCCCTTACCAGTCATCTTTTAAAAAAAAAGATGTACTCTATTAATTATAGTCATCATGCTGTACATTAGATCCCCAGAAGTTATTCATCTTATCACTGAATGTTTGTACCCTTTGACCAACATCTCCCCATTTCTCCTATCCCCCCAGTATCTGACATCCACCATTCTACTCTCTCTTTTGAGTTCAACTTCTTTTGATTCCACACATAAGTGAGATCATACAGTGATTGCTTTTCTTAGCCTGGCTTATTTCACTTAGCATAATATACTCCATGTTCACCCATGCTGTTACAGATGGCAAGATTTCCTTCTTTTTTTAATGACTGAATATTCCATTGCATATTTATACCACGTTTTCTTCATCCATTTTTTCTGTCAACAGACATGTAGGTTGTTTCCATATCTTGGCTATTGTGAATAGTGCTGCAGTAAACATGGAAGTGCAGATATCTCTTTGACATACCAATTTCATTTCTTTTGGATATGTGCCCAGTAGTGTGATTGCTGGATAATATGGTAGTTCCATTTTTAATTTTTTGAGGAACCCTCATACTGTTTTCCATAATGGCTTTACTAATTTACATTCCCACCAACAGTGTACAAGGTTCTCTTTTCTCCACACCCTCACCAACATTTGTCATCTCTTGTCTTTTTGATAATAGCCATCTAAAGTGTGAGGTAGTAACCTCATTGTGGTTTTGATTTCCATTTCCCTCGTGATTAGTGATGTTGAGCACATTTTTACGTACCTCTTGGCCATTTATATGTCTTCTTTAGAAAAATGTCTATTCGGGTCTTTTGCCTGTATTTTAAATGGGTTGTTTTTTGTGTGTTTTGTTTGGTTGGTTGGTTTTTTGCTGTTGAGTTGTATGAGTTCCTTATATATTTGGGATATATTAATCCTTATCAGATATATGGTTTACAAATATTTTTTCACCTTCCATAGGTTGCCCTTTCATTTTGTTGATTGTTTCCTTTGTTGTGCAGAAATTTGTTCATTTGACGTAGTCCCACTTGGTTACTTTTATTTTGTTGCCTGTGCTTTTGGTGTCACATCCAAAGAATCATGGCCAAGATCAGTGTCAAGGAA